GTTCATATGCAGGAATGTCTGGGGCATCTACGCCGCTGAAAGCTGAGGATGAGCGTTCTCAAAATGCCTTTGAGGAAGATCTTCGGCGTCACTTGGTAGACATCGCTTATTTGTTTGGCAGGGTGGAAGACCCACAGGAACTCCGAGCTGCTTTACCACTCCGCGCTGCCATCGCTGCCTCCTTTCTGCAGTCTTTGTCGGAATGCACGACTCCCTTGGTAGGGAGAGCGAGCGCCACTGTGGCAACGGCTGTTGATGCGCAGCCAAGCGACGGGTGCACACGAGATAAAGACGCTTATGCAGCTCTTATCCTCGATGCTCGAAGGGTGGAGTGGCTTTTTGTTGCTTATCGCGAGGCAGAAACCCTTCCGAAGCCCGTACGTTATAGTCTTCATTTACCTCCACTGCTGATATATCCTTCTAGCGTAGTCACGTTTTAGTTGCGCTGGGTGAAGCGCATGCAGTCTGACCCAATTGGGGCTGCTTTTGCAGGACAACAGCGTCGTTTCAACTGAAGTGGCGAGCGTCCCGGAGCAAGCGCGGGAGGTATGTCTCGTAAACTGAACAGCGCTGTTGTTTCGATAAATTGTTTCGTTGGTGTGTGGGCGTCCGATGCCGACAGTCTCCTTGCGGAGAAATTTGGGGAATATCATTATAGGATCCGGATGTTTTGCTGTTGTAGGACTCGGGGGAAGCTGACTGTCGGCGGAAATTTGCCTTTTTCCTTGCCGAATGGATTTCTTGGGATTCACAGCGCCAAGATATTTCAGAAGTACACATCGTACAACCAAACAACGGAGACAGGGCAGAGGGCGGGAACAACGCCGAGACTGCCCAAGTTGTTGCCACCGCCAGGGCTGCCGCACAGTCTCTCCTTCCTAACCTCTGCTGTTCATCATTCGTTGGCTACGCCGTTGGGTTTTGGCCTTTCGTGAGGACGAAGGTGGAAGAGTTGCAGAAATCATGGCAGTGGCATAAAACAGCATCGGCTACTCCGGCTGCTGAAGGTGAGTTTTGGAAATTCCTGTCGGGAACCCTCCTCTTGAGTTGCAGTGATAACTGATTACTTTTGGATATTGTTTGTTTCTTTTGAAGTATACCGCCTCACTTGTCTTCTTGTTTTGTGTTGGTGATGTCATTTCAGCCGGAGTATCTACTATAGACATATCCGGTGGTGCTATGTCATTCTTACTGGAGCTCAGCCGACACCTAATAGCGGTTTCACGGAGCCTAAAGTGAGAGATGGCGCTGAGGGGTGTCTCTTATTTAGTATCTGGTGTATTGTCAAGTCATTCCGGAAATTCAGTCACTGCACAGGGTTCAGAATTTGTGCAGCTGACCCCGGGTTCAGTTGGGCATCACAAGCAAAGAACACTGCAGTCCCATGCGTATGCGGTGTTTGTGCCTTTGGTGTAGAGTGGATAGTGTGTCAGAGTCG